CAATTAGCGATGTAATGGTTTTTGCGCGCACTGGCCGACTGCAGCCGCTGCGCCGAGATTTCCTATACCCTTGTATATGTGTGGCAAATGTAGCATTTTAATTCGATTTGGGCTCCCTAATATAGGATAACAGAAACATTTTCAATGTTAAAAAAATACAATTTTATTTTCATGTTGCATGAAATAAATTACAGATTTTTATTCAGCAGCAATAGACTAGGCCCTTTTTTTATTGTTTCTCATAAGTTATTTCACAAATGTCATTTAAGACGACGAAAAAATATTCTTATCGTTTTAGCTTAAAATTAATGGTAATTATAATTAAGACAAATTTTATTTAAAGTAATAATTGGTGATGGGTTTAAAATAAATATAATGCAGCTTTAAAATAACTTCATACCTACATTGATTTAGTATAAAAGTAAGTCAATATGTGGTTTTATTATCGATTATTCAGATATCAGAGTCTCTTTTTATTGTTTCTCATAAGTTATTTCGTAAATCTCATTCAAGATGAAAAAGCTTTAGTTTAAAATTAATGTTAATTATAATTAGGAAAACTTTATTAAAAGTTTAATTGGTGATATGGGATTTAAATAAATATAATGCAGGTCAAAAATAACGTAACACATTTTATTTAGTATAAAAATTAAGCCAATATAATATAATTTTATACTGTACAAGTATTTATTTACGTTTTGCCATCGTAGTTGCCATTCATTCAGAATAGTGGATTTTAAATGTTCGATAGTCGGATGGCTTAACTACCTTAATATCAACTACTTCTAGACAAGAATCGGGTGCAGTATTATCTTCTTTTTCACTCCCATCTATTCTAACATGGCTTGGGACGTGAAATAATAATATAATTTTATAGCCCTTCCAGATGCTCATGTCTTCCTTATAGTTCACCCAATAGAATCGTTCTCACAGCTTCCTCCCAAGTTGGTAGTTGCTATTCATTCAGAATAGTGGATTTTAAATATATTTGGTAGTCGGATGGTTTAACTATCGTAACTATAACTACTTTTAATAATTCTTTTTCTCAATTCTTTGCACTATAATTTGCATCCCACGTATTGTAATATTTTCCTATTGTTCCATGGCTTGAGACGTAATGTTATAGACCTTCCAGATCCTCATGTATATGTCCCTTTTCCTTGTAGTCCACCCAATAGAACCTTTCTCTTAGCTTCCTCTCAAGTTGGTAGTTGCCATTCATTAAGAATAGTGGATTTTAAACATGTTTTGTACTCGGATGGTTTAACACAACATAAATAAATTTATTAATTAAAATTGTTAATATTATTGTTAATATATCGCATACCAACACATAATGGCCAAACTTCAACAGATTTTAATATTCATAAACCTCATCAGAAGAAAATATTTTTTGATCAAAAGTTTCTTTTTCGTTATTAGAATAAATTACCTGCAATTTGTTAATTCATTACAACATTGAATAAAAGATGCAAAGTGTTTATACATACTATAATAGATAAATCTTCATTTTAAATTATGTGATAGATCTGCTTGCTTGTAGGATCTAGACTCATAAACTCAATAATTTCTTTTATTGATATAACCAATAAAGTGGTAATGCTTAAATTTTGTTTTTGATTTGAGCAGTAGGGTCCATTATTTCCATTATTTGATGCTGTTATTGCTCTACAAAATGTTGATCTTTATCAAGGGATGTTTATGTGTATAATATTATTATTTATGTGTATAATAATACTGTATGATCGAAAAAACACGGCGTCCAGTTGGCTTGGAAATGAACATCTCGATGACATTCTCCATATCATTTTACATATAAAATGATAGCAATCTTCATTTCATAGGCATCGCTGACGCCGTTTTTTATTCGATCAAATTGTACTTACGTGTATAATATTCATTTAATGGTTCCCGTTTTAGTTGCTGGTGTTCATATTTTGGTTTTTTATTGTGTTGTTGCTCTACAAAATGTTAATATTTATGTGTATAACATTACTCTTTCTGTGTATAATAATACCGCATGATCGAATAAAAACGGCGTCAGCGATGGCTATGAAATGAAGATCGCTATCATTTTATATGTAAATTTATATAGGAAATGGCATCGATCGTCATTTCCAAGCCAACTGGACGCCGTTTTTATTCGATCATACGGGTACTTATGTGTATAATATTCATTTAATGGTGCCCTTCTTGCTTGTTGCTGTTGTTGCAATTCAGAATTTAAATTAACCTGAGGCAGTAGGTAGAGCTTCATCCTCCAATATTTTCCTATGTAAATACTGAAGTGGACAGTATTTCTGATGACAATTTTATCACAAACTTTAACATCTTGTTCTTTAAAATGAAACTGCCATACCTTATCTGTAGATTTCAAAGCAATATCTAAATGCTTTTGACCATCACTGTAATCTAATTCTTGTCTGAAAATCAATACCTAATATTGTCCTGATGATTTTGATTTTTCATAGATTATTAAAATACAGCACTTACATATTTCTTGAAAGTAGCTACAATTTTATGTATTTCCTACTTTTACTTGTTTAAAAAAATGCCAACAATTTGTGCATGTCTGTCAAACTTTAAAATCATTAAAAATAAATGTTATTTAGGTTGTAACTTTATAAAAAGGTTTGTAAAAATATACTTTGTAACATGTAGGTATGTCAATAATCTTACGAAAAATGTTTACTACACTTTTGATTGACTCTAATTTTTACATATAATACAAATAATACAATACTGAATTATATTATGTATTTTACATACCGTAGGCTTTGCCTTTGCTCTTTATTTTTCCATCAGCTATTCAATCAACTTCGCACCACACACACTTTAACCATTGTTAAATAATAAATAAAGCACAAAATATTGATAAAAAATAATTATTTTATATTCAAAAACTCTGTCTAAAAAATAAAAACAAATACGTTTAAATTAAAATTTTATTTATTTACCCAAAAAAAAACAAAATTTTTTTGGGTAATGTTTGGTTATATTTATTTTTATTCTCTTATCTATGGTTACTTTTCATTTTTTAGAATCATGCGTTTTTAGCGCCACTGTGGTTATTTGGCGAACCCTTATTCTTCCCATTTTGTGACCACTTTTTCAATAAAAGTCCCGTAAGAGTTATTTCTCCTTACCTCTACACTCCATAATTGATATTAAAAGAATTTCAAACTTTCATTGTCATTGTCAAATTTCAATGTCATATTTATTTTACTTATACTTCGGTTTATTCAGATATACAGGGTGAGTCTTAAATAAGTGTAATATTTTCAGGGGTGGTATATTTCGACCCCAGGAACACGTCCATGAGGTTTTTTAGCAAAAAAAGATGTTGAAAATCGTGCATTTTCTTTCAAATTGCCCTGTATATTTTTCGAAAACTTTTTAGAACTGGCTGATCACTGTAAATTTTCCCACGGTAAAATTTTTTAATCCCTGATACTGCCATAGTTACGGTACTAAAAGGGATGCAATTTTGCCCTAACTACATGACCTATATTTTTAATTATTCATACGAAAAAATACCACAAAACAAGTTAAAAATTGCTGAAAAGGGGTGAAAAATTCTGAAAAGTTGTGAACAAGATACCCTGTATTGTAAAGTGCGGAGATACTAGTTACGCCATTATGATTAATTTATCTATTTCAGTATAAAAACACACACACTTCTTTTTAAGTTTATTTAGAAATAACGAGAACTAAATCTTATACATTATTACATCTCTGTTTATATAATAACGAACACATAAAACGTGTGTTTTGAGTATAATATTGTTTTAACTCGATTTTAAGTGTCTTACCTTGTCAGATAAAATGTTGAGCCTAATTTATATTACAGTTAAGGGCTGGAACTTGTGGTATTACAACAGCAAAATAAAACACTAATTCACTACAATACACCAAAACACTTTACTTTTGCCACTCCTATTTTATAGATGCATAATCCGAGAAATACAAAACACTTTTTCCCAGTTCATACAAATTACACGAAAAATATATTTCCTGCCTATACATCTCTTTGTGACATTGCCATTTTTTCAAAAAAATAGACTTCAAATATTCAATTAAAAATTTTATATGTCAAAGCTATTTATTTTAGTAATACAGTTTATATGGATCCATGGGTAGGGTTCTATCTATAGAGGGTAAATAGTCATTCCAGTATTTATTATTTTCGAGATATTTTCTTTTTTCAGATTTTGCAAAATTTCGACTTTGGTTCGATTTCTAAAACACCCTATACCCATAATTAAGAAATAAAAAAACCACATCAACCCTCTGTCCAACCATACATGATTAGTTTCAGTCACAAATCATTTTGTGGCCAAAATTGAACTTCTTTGAAATACTTTGATTTCGATAGCAACTTCTAGAATTATTAAAATTATTTAACTTTTTAGATTTCTTGTTAGTTTTTAGTTAAAAACCATAATTTCTTGATAACATGGCAACATAGGTAGTAGGTAGATTAAATTTACCAGACAGAAAAACCCGAAAAGCTCCACTGGTTCTCAAAATTTAATCAAAAAAATTCGGTTATTTTGGAGTTATTTGAAAAACGGTAAAAAGAAAATGTTTCTTTATCGAGATCTACCAGCCCTGAAAACATTTGCTCTTATTCAAGACTCGCCTTGTATAATACCCAGAAAATTGACAATTGCTAACTTTCATATGAAATACGAGTAGCTCTAAAACTCTTAAAAACATAGTTTAAATATTGCGTTTGTAAGAGTCACACACACACTAGCTCTATCTATAAAGAAGTAAACAATCATTGAAATCAATGCATGAACGATTCGAGGTGTAACGCGAACGTAGTCGCGGGAAAAAGCTAGTTTTTATTTAAATAAATAAAGCGACCGTACTGGCTGAGGATCGAACCCAGTACCTTCTGCTCCGCAGAACGACACACTACCGCTGGAGCCACGGCCGGCCACATATAAATATTATTAACAATGTATAACCGGCATGTGTTCATTGTTTTTCAGGTTTTAGTGATCCATACTGTATGCTGGGTATACAACCAATGGCAGCTCCAAGCTCACCCCAACCCTTAACACCAAATCGCACACTATCTGATGCCTGTTCACCCTGTGGGATTAATCCCAATTTTGGTGATCTAAATCATGCTAGTGGTGGAGAAAAACTTAGAAAACATCACAGGTAAGATTAATAGATCTATTAATGTAACAAGATGTATATTGTATAGGAGGGGGGAAGTTAATCACCGCGACCTTATATATCTATTGTGTCTCCCTTTTTTGATCTATAACTCATCATACAGTCTCAGGGTTTTAACAAATGCTAGTATCTGAGATGGCTCCACAGAGGCCAGCTCTCCATCCTCGGTATTCATTATTGGTAAAGCCAATATCTGATTTTTTTAAACCAGTAAAATCTGATCTATTTTTTTAACCCTTAACTGGTCCGGTAATAGATATGTATCATAAACGGTCCGGCGTAGTCTGTGGGACTACGCCTTCTAAAAAGTGAAAAAACACAAAAAACTAAAAAATAACAAATTTTTATTTTATTATATATTATATTATGTATTATTTAACTAATCTAGACAAAAATGGGTTCAATTAATATAAACTTTAAGAAAATATAGTACAAAATAAAATAACATATACATAAATTTAAAAAAAAATAGATTTTTACTAAGCTCTAAAAAATAAAACCAAATTACTAACAGTCATTACAATATAGAAATATGTTTTTAATACTATATATAAAAAAATAAGCTATAAAACTGAAGTTAAAGAAAAAGTTTTTAGTTACAGCATGAGGCAAAGTTCATTGTTTTCCTGAACATGTTTTACAAAATGGATTTGTACATTCTAGGCATTAAAAATAATTAAACTAGGGCCTAACATTGTCTTTAACTAGGATAAGAACTCTAGGATAAGCATATCTCCGTGGGCGTGTTCTTGTTGTACAGGAATTGCAAGTATTCTACCAGTTGTAAAGTATATTTCTCTTGGAATATTTGACATTGTCAAACGCATTTGTCTGGCAGATTGTCATATTGTCACTGTCACAGTCCTCATCATATCATTTTAATAGAGTTTCGCCATAACTAGAGTCTCCTAAACGCACTCTTTTCGAAGGCCCGGCTATATTTTACAAAAGTTTGTCACACACAAAATCTTACGCAAACAGTCCGGCGTCGTCTGAGAGACTACGGCTTAAGTAACTTCTGCCATAACTTTTAAAAAACTAATCCAGTTTGGGCATAAATATGGCTATCAGTCGTTGACCGAGAGGGGGAGGATTAGCTGGAATGTCAATCCAATAGGCGGTCCCAGTAACTAATGAGAATGAGTTAATTATTTGGCGTAGTCTGTCAGACGACGCCGGACCAGTTAAGGGTTAAAACCAGTACCCTTTGACATTATCTCTCTGCAGTACTAAAATCACTTACCTAAACAAACTTTATTAGTGGCTAAGGCAACTCACTGTCTATAGTCTCTGGCAAACTGTATCTCTGGTGGTCTTTGGGTACCGAAAATTAACTGTAAATTATGGTCTCGGTCAACACTTAATTTTCCCTCGAGTTTTTCTCCACTTAATTTTAAAAAACACGAAACACACGTAATAACATAGTCCAAAATGTAAAATATTTGTCATTTCTATTTGACACAAATTATAACCTATAATTTTGCAAGAGTTTGACAACTCTCAAAAATCTTAAGTCGATTCATACGCATATATAGTCTGTAAAACGAATAACTTTGAATTTGACAGTTCCCGCGGGCTTTTCTAGTGTTAATTTTATTAGGTTAGCAACTTGCGGCCATGCTAACGCAATGCCGTCACTAATAGAACAGCCTCGGACCGAGATTTCACGCTAGTTAGATACTACAGATTAATAAATATGTTGTAGAATACATGGAAAACATAATTGTTCCTCGTATTTTTGGTTTGTATTTTAAAAATGATATAGTTTACATGAAATATACATAAGATACAGTTAATAAATACAATATATATATATATATATATATATATATATATATATATATATATATATATATATATATATATATATATATATATATACCTATTTATAGTAATAAATACTTTGGCAGATAAACTATAAACCATACAAATGCAGCAAATGTTTTACAATATGGCTGAAATCGTACTCCATAGTCAATGTAGATAGTTTTTGTGTTAAGAATAATAATTTAAAAAAATATGTGGTTTGACAAGTTTATATTAGTTTATTAATTGCAGTAAACATTATAATATATAAATAAATTTTGTGAATGCAAATATACTATTAGTAGAATACAAATACATCACTATTAGTAGATATTGAATGTGTTTTGTTAAATTAGATCGATTTTCGAACCCCAAAATTTAAAATATATTTTACATTTTACCCATTATCTTATGTACCACCTATTCATTATTTGTATATTGTAAAACATTTGCTGCATTTGTATGGTTCATAGTTTATTTGCCAAAGTATTTGTTACTATAAATAGGTATATATTATATTGTATTTATTACCTGTATATTATGTATATTTCTTGTAAACTATATCATTTTTAAAATACAAACTAAAAATACGAGGAATAATTATGTTTTCCATGTATTCTCCAACATATTTATTAATCCGTAGTATCTAACTAGCGTGACGTCATAAACCTCGCTCCGAGGCTGTTGTATTGGAGACGGCATTGGTCTAATATTTAGAAATGTCAAAAGCTGATGACATTTTACTTTTGTCCATTATGACATTTCGTGTTGATTTTTGCAAGAAGAGGAAGAACTGTCACTTGTTTTATTATTTTCCTTTTCTATTTCACGAAAGTAAAAAGAGTTACCTATCTGATTCGTTCAGGCACTCAATTTAAAGAATATCAGTAACTGTTTTGACAGCGGGATTTTATATTTGCCATGTTGGTAAAAAATAACGGTCAAAATTCAAAGTTATTCATTTTATAGACTATAATATTGAAATATGAACTGTCCTTTTTGAAATAAACCAATAAAACTGGTTAAAAACAGCAAGAGATAATGTCATGACGGATTTATATATATAAATCCATCCATAGTTAACTTAAAAAATATTAGAAACTTTTTTTAGTGAAATAAATGGATTGGTATGGCCGTCATCTGCGTTTTTTCTGTCATCGTGTGTCGAAATTTTACAGGAGAAAAAAAATAGATTATACACACAAAATTCATTAAAAATTAAAAAACACACACTTATGATAATTTTCTTGGATACTTTTTACTTCCTAATTATGTTTCAGCACGTGCATCAGCTAATGCAAATATTCTTTTATGAAAATTTCAGTTTTAAATTAAGTTTCAAGAGGAAGGAGGGCAGAGTTCGCGAACACAGAGACAGTCTAGGCGGTGCTCTACCAGCCAAATTTATTAGAGCCACTTCCGTCAAACCTCACACGCTGAATCCAAAGTGGAACGAAAAATTTCGATTGTAAGTACACATTTTTATTCAGTTTTAGTGTAATAACTTTGCGACTTACAGTGCCACAGTTAAGTCCGCAATATATGGGATATTAAATTTATTTATTGCTCTCAAATTGGTGAAATTTGACTTGGGATTAGATTGTGTTTTGTTTTGGCTCTCCAGTATTCTTCCAGTACATATTTCTATAGTATAAATCTTATTGAAAAAAGTCGTTTCATTTTTAATTTTGCGTAAGTATTTTTACCTAACTGAGTGAAATATATTTTTATTCAATTTTAGCACTCAGTTGCAAAAAAACGCAACGGAGAAATTTTTCGTCAAATTTAAAGTGTTATATTTTTGTTATTTTTAGCCCTATTTTCATGATTTTTTTTGCAAGGTGTATATAATTATATCAACGTTAATTCGTAAAGTCATGTGTTTATAAACTTTAGTATTATTTGGCATATTATAGCAAGTTATAGCAAGTTTTCCGTAGTTAATCGAGAGGTTTTTTAGCTTAACTGTAAAACACCCTGTGCAATAATTTCGTCTGTAAATTTTCCTAAAATATAATTTTCCGGTCATAACCATGACTACTGAGCATTTTGTTTTTTGATTCATGTCAATACATGTTTTGGTTAATTTTTAAGGGTGAAATAAACTGAACATTTTTAAGGCAAGCTCTTGGAGCTTTTTACACAAGCCCCGCAACTAGCCTATGTGCTGAAGCGGGAATAGAGCCCCTTAAATACAGAAGGATGAAGCTAGAGCAATCCTACCTCACTTCGGCATTAGCAAATCCTAGCCATATAGTGAGAGAAACAATGCTATCCCGTCAGATGGAAGAACATTTGCCTATGATAATCGATGAAATCCCTTTCGAAAATCCTCCATGGCTAATATGTAGTATTAGAAGTTACAAAAAAATGATGGAATGTTTTTTTTATAAGAATTTTCTTTTGGAAAAAATATGAATCAACTAATACTATGCGACGGAACTGTTCGCCGGTGAGCAATGGGTCGTAAGCTAGTGAAAATTAAATTGTGATACTTACGTCTTTATAATATACTGGGCGCCACTCAGTTTTCCATTTACTTTCGAAAACTTCTAAGTTGAGAACTGAGAAATCAACTCAGAATATAGGTATTACTTATTTTAGGAATTACACAAATGGAACGCTGAGATAAACTAATAACTAAGTATAATTAATAATTAAATGTTAAGTAGAATAAAATAAGACTATGAAAAATTTGATGTTTGAAAATATTTGTTGGTTGTGAAAAAAGCAATCAAATATATAATATGCCTGAAGGGCTTAATGGCGTTCAAATGAACTTAAATTAAATAGATATAAAATGAAATGATCTGGCCTTTTTTTATCCGTTCTGGTCACAAGCTGGTTGTAGTGAACTGCTACTGGAACTGGATTGTGATAAAAACGTCTCTGCACAGACAGGATCGAAAACTTCTGTGGATTCAGGAGATTCCTCCGTTATTCCCGGTGTGAAATGTAGGGACAAAACGTGGCCCAAATGTCAGGTACAAAAAAACAAAATGGCACCAGAAAATGCTACCATAAAACAAAATGCGTACCATAAAATAAAACCCTGTACAAAAAAAAAGGTATTAGGAAACGTTACGTTTAAAATAAAAGTCTTACCTCTGCTCAGAGGGTTTTCCCAAACAAATTGGCAAAATGCCAACAAACGCCGATAGCTCTATCGGTTTGAGCCTTTACCACCAATATGGCGAGGGAAGGTAGACACGAAGTGTGACTATACACCGTCCGATATATTTGACCATGATCCGCTAAAACAAAAAATTCAGACGCTTATTCAAAAAGAAAGTGCAGCGAAAAGGGAAACAAACTCACGTTTGTATGGGTCCCAAGCCACACTCATATACTTGGCAACACAATGGCAGATGAAGCTGCTCAGCAAGCTGCTAGAAGAGATACCATTGATTTCCATTATATTAGTAAATATGATCTTAAAGTTCTACTGCATAAAAGAACAGAAAGGGAATGGCAGGATGAGTGGGCATGTACACCTTCAAAGCTTTGCGCAATAAAACAGGATTCGTCAACCCCATCCTTATGTCTTGCACTAGGACGAGCGTATGAATCCAGAGTGCATCATCTTCATATTGGGCATAATATCGGGCATACTATACCTCTTCCTATTGGGCATATCTGCTTAACAGAGAAATACCTCCAATGTGTATAGTCTGTGATGTTGAGTTGACAGTAATTCACATTATATGTGAATGTCCTCAATATACGGTAGAAAGAAATAGATTCGATATACGTGGTGAAATTCGTGATAATTTAACTGAAGAAGAAAAAATTAAAAATATTTTGAAATTTATGAAAGATATTAATATATACCACCAACTGTGATACTGTGATGTAAATAATTACCTATTTTTCTTATATATTGTTTGTTTTTTGTTGTCTATTTTTTTGTGTTTAGTTTTTTATCCTTTTGTCACTCAATTTGAAATGTATATGTCAATGTAGTTTTATAAATTTTGAATTGTCCTTGTAAGATTGAATCCCTTGAGGATATTGAGATCATCATCATCATCATCATTTAGCTTATACCGTCCACTGCTGAACAAAAGCCTCCCTTAACTCTAGCCATTTCCTTCTATTTTGTGCCACTTGAATCCAGTTTCCAGCCACCCTCTTAATGTCATCTGTCCATCGACTAGGAGGTCGTCCTCTGCTTCTATAGGCCTCGTGTCTCGGTCTCCATTCCACAAGTCTCTTTGTCCACCGTCCATTTGTCATCCTAGCCACATGTCCTGCCCAATTCCATTTAAGATGTAAGACAGATATCACCGCATCTCTTACTCCTGTTCGATTTCGTATTGTATGATTGGGTATTTTATCTCTGAGTGTAACTCCCAACATAGACCTTTCCATTTTCCGTTGCATGACCTGTATTCTATGTATGTTCTTTTTTGTCAAAGTAAGCGTTTCAGCTCCAACGTGAGGACAGGCAAGACACACTGGTTAAAGATCTTTCTTCTTAAACATATGGGAATATCAGATCTCAGTATATGCCTTAGTTTGCCAAATGCCGCCCACGACAAACCTATTCTTCGTAGAATTTCGTGGGTCTGATTATCCCTTCTAATACCGATCTCATGCCCTAAGTATTTATATATATGCACTTGTTCCAAAGGTATGTTATTAATGTTTAAATTTCCACTTAGTACTAGGTTTGTCATGTATTGTGTCTTTGACAAGTTAATTTTCAAACCGACTTTTTCCGAAGCATCATTCAGCATATCCAGCATATTCTGTGCCTCCTGTATGTTGTCTGTTATTAAAATAATGTCATCTGCAAAACAGAGATGATTTATCAATTTGCCATCGATGTTAATTCCTGTTGAATCCCAGTTTATCATTTTTAGCATACTTTCTAGCACAGCAACGAATAGTTTAGGGGACAGTGTGTCGCCTTGTCTTACCCCTCGATCGATATTGAATTTATCTGTGCATTGATTTGTCGATATTCTGACGTTTGCCGTGGCATTATCATATATATGTCTTATGATTGAGGAGTATCGATGATCGATGCGACTCTCACTTAGTGTCTCTAGAAGCTTCCGCTGGTCTACCGAATCGAAGGCCTTCTCGAAATCCACGAAGACAAGCATTAGTGGTCTATTATACTCAATGCATTTCTCGATAAGGACCTTGACTGTTAGAAGATGGTCATTTGTTCCGTAACCTGATCGGAAACCTGCTTGTTCGCTCGAAAGAAAAAAGTCTATTTTATTTGTCAAACGCTTGGTGAGTATTTTAGTAAATAATTTGTATACGTGGCTAAGAAGGCTGATGGGCCTATAGTTTTTAAGGTCTGTAACGTCACCTTTCTTGTGTACAATAATGATGGTTGCGTTGTTCCACTGTGATGGGGTTATTTCTTCTTCAATGCATTTATTAAATAGGACATTTAAAGCTTTGATGATTTCTGGTCCTCCTTCTTGGATTGACTCTATTACCAGTCCATCGTCGCCGGCAGCTCTATTGTTTTTCATATCTCTAAGGGCACTGATAATTTCTTCCTCGGTTATTTCTGGAATTTCTTCCGACCCCTGATTTATTACCTTTCGGATGTCGGTTCTGATCCCCTGCTGTTTTGATGTGTAAAGTTCTTGATAGAAAAGTTTAATAGAGTGTAGGATTTCCTGTTTGTGTGTTACTATGTTGCCGTGCATATCCTTGATCTTTTGTATTTCTTTTCTTCCCATTGTACTATTTCTCAATATCTTCAAACTTTGATTCTTCTCTATGACTTTCCTAATTTTTTCCGTATTCTGTTGCCTCCTATGCTTTCTGATTTCTTTGGATATCTCTCTGTTTAAAGTTCTATATTCTTGTGTACTCTTGTCCTCCATATCTCTTCTCTGTTTCATTAAAAGTTTTGTTCTTTGATTCAGTTTTTGTTCTTTTACTTTTTTGGGACAACATTTTTCGATAGCCGTTTGAGTGGCCTCTTTGATGTTTTCGTATATTTCGTCTATCGTAGTAGTATTTTCATAATTTAGATTTGAGGCTATACATTCCTTATAAGAATCTTTATTTTCAGGGTCTACCCATTTCTTGTGGTTTTTCTTGAGTATCATGTTAGTTCTTTCCTTCTTTATATTTATTTTTATCTCGGCTCTTACAATGCGGTGATCGCTTCCTATCGAAAATCTGTTTAATACACTTACGTCTTTGATTACATCTTTTCTATTGCTGATTATGAAATCTATTGCGTTTTTGGTTTTGCTATCTGGACTGGTCCATGTCCACTTTTTGCTGTTTCTTTTCTTGAAGAAGGTGTTCATTATATATAATGTGTTGTGGTGTGCGAAATCTATCAGTGTATCACCTCTTTCGTTTCGGCTTCCCAATCCATGATAGCTGACTGAAGTTTTCGCTTCATCTTGTTTGCTACCAACTTTGGCATTAAAATCTCCAATTAACATTGTATAGTGTGTTTTTCCATTTTGTAGAGCAGTGGAT